AGGAATTCAAAGAAAACAAATAAATGATTGAATAGTAGGCCCACAAAGCCTAAGGGCACAGGGGAAGGGGACAGGAGACCGGGGAAAGGGGGGGGGGTAAATCAAAGAAACAACAACTAGGGGCAAAGGGAAAGACTAAAATCTGCAGACCCATTATTATGAAGATTATTAAAATGTTACCTTGATTTAGACCAAACCATTTGTTGTCCAATATTTTAGCAGAGCTCTAGCGGTTCTACTTTTTGAGCTTTCTGCGCCTGAAATTGATTCTTTTACATTTATACGTCTGTAATTATCAAGAGTAGATACCTAAAAATCAAACGTATTGACATGTTTTCATTTTGTTTTTGTTTTTTGTTATAATTATTTATTGCTTTTTATCAGTCATTATACAAAATTTAAAATAATCATATCCAGGAAATATTATCGTCAGAAAAGTAAGAACTTTGTAACAGTGTTAAGTTTTAAAACAAATGAAATAAAATGTCAAGGAAAGGGTCAATACTGGTCTAGTTAAGATCGTTCAGCACGACATTATTGTTGTGTATGCATGCTATGTGGTACTTTAAGTTTCTTCTATTTGACCTTATTCAACTTGGGTGGTTCCAATATTCCTACTTGAATACTGTATAATCACCCCTAGGATATGTTGCCTGCTTTTTAAATATGTCTTTTGACGTGTTATCTGTGATATGCAGGCTTCATAACCTCAGATCCCTTTATAATTCCATTTTATTTAGTTCCGCCCATTGTTTTCTCGTTTAGGGCACAAGCATTCTTTTACTTGGGGACCATACGCCGCTTTTCATGGAATGACACTACTGTGTCACATTGAAGGTTCCATGATGATCTGCGGATGTTTCTAAATTCAAACTTTCACCATTTTCGTGTAAAATGTTGAATTCTGCTTAAGCCGGTGCTTGGGTGCGTGGACGGTAACTTGCTTTTTCCATTACCGTTCATTAACAGGCTCAATCAAACCGAGCCTGCAACATTTTCAATTTTGTTGTGTTGGGCTTTCTTTAGGAATTCTGTATTTCTCTATTATTGACATATTAATTCAAGAAAAAAATGTTGACAAACTGTCAATATATCGTGTTTCTCCTTTGTATTATCTACTTTGTTGAAAAGGAAATAGCCAATTAAAATATCAGAGAAGTTATTCAAAATTGTCACGTGTCACAACTGTGGTTCGGAAATTTTTTGGGATCCGGTACACCCGGAATTGTATACCAATGTGTGTTGAGTAGTCCCTAATCATATTTCATGGCAGTTTATTCGTTTCCCTCTATTTTTGGTATGATTCCAATCTCCGTGTGTTCCGGATCAAAGGTCGTGATATGGTCCTCTACCATTCCGTTGTACTAGAAAAAACTGCTACCGGATGAAAGAAATCCAAATTATAATAAAAAATGCACATCCCGTCGACGTGAGCGCGATATGTATGTTTTCCTTGCACAAACGTAAAACATGAACATTTCAAAGTGCCATTTCGAATTCTTTCAACTTTATATTGTTTTTGAAGAGCAGTTTTGAAATATTAGTAAGACAGTTGATTTACTTGACATGTTTTTGTAAGCAACTTCGATATGATAGAAAAATGTTGTTTTTTTTCTGGTCTTTTGGGATCATTGATTCCAACACCTTTAAGTGTAAAAAATTGAGTACCGCTCAAGTTGGTGCTAGGGGTCGTGAGGGATGTTGAACTTTCTTAATCATCCCTCATGCACGGACCCATTCAAACCGAGTCTGCAATTTTCATGTAATTTTGTTGTGATTAATGCTACCGAGGTATCACACTTTTTCAGATTTTGATATTATTACATTAAAACATGAACATTGTCAACAAAGAAATTCTGTATTTCGATTTGCTTATTTCTATTTTGAGCCGGCAATCATGATTTGTGCAGAAGACTGGTATACACAAATTACATAAGAACCTTCCACCAACGCATTCAATCGGAACAAAAGATGCACGATGAGTCATATGAAAAACTCAATAAACAATATCACTTCGGTAAAATAAAATAGAAAAACAGAATCCATAAAGAAAGCCAAAAACGACAAAATTAATACTGTTGCAGGTTCGGATTGACTGAGCCTTTTCATTAACAGTACGTAGAAACGTCTTTATCTGTTCTAGACGTTAAATGTTTTCCTATTAGCGTCTATCTTACTAGGCCTTTGGCTTACTTTTCGCATGCACGTGTAATGTTTATCCAGATAGACATGACATTGAGATCGAGTAAATTCAAAAGTATCGAAACACGAGGCTACCTGATTTGTACGAGGGGTCGTAAACCTTGAGTATAAATCAGATTGCCGAGTGTTTGATGTTCTTTCTCTTTCATGTCATTGGCAAAAATGAAATAAAAGACATTTCTATCGTCAAAATATGAACTCTAGAAAAGATACTTATTTATGAGCATCTAAATGTGATTTTCTATCGTTATCCCAGTAATTCCCTGTCGTTATAATATGTAAACCCCGGAAAAGTGAGCCGATCAACGGCCATGGATTATGGTTGTCCCCGACAAGCAGCGCGCTTATTGGAGTGCAGGTAACTTATACCTGTATTCTAGTTACCGCACTTTGCAAGTAAACATGGAGGGGGATATTCGTCAAATCGTCTTTTTTGGTTTTTAAGGTAAAGCCCAACTTTTACCTTCCCTGTAATAGTGAACGCAGCTTCCAATACATGGTTTATTCATTTATTAATCTAAATTAGACACACTCAGTATGAATTTTATAGATTTCAATAATAAATTTATGTATTAAAATACAAAATAGCTATTTGACATTGCTGAAATTTTGAAAACACAAAAAGGTAAAAGCAAAACGTGTTCGATTGGTAATAAAATGCCTATCACAAGCAAATTTGATATTTACGAAAAACCATTGCAAAGCAGTTTGAGTTACTATTTAAGATTTATGTGACGGTTGAAATGGTTGATGGTTATTGGATTTGAATAATGATGTAAAATCAAATAACCTTTAGGGCTTTAGATATAAATTTTGTTTCAGTGTTGATAAAGTGTTATGTTTTTTACATTGTAAAAGATTATTTTTTAAACAACAGTTTCATGCAAACTAATAGCCGCTTTACAAGATAAATGCGCGTACATGTTTGTATGTACTAAACAATGCGCACATGTTATGATGTTTGTATTGAATAACATACGCTTCCTTGCGACTATATTTAAATAATTTAATGATAGTGACACGTAAAAAAGTACATATATCTTAGTTAATTCTGTTTTATTACACGAAATAAAGAAAGAAAACAAAGTGCAAAAGAGTGAAGAAGAACGGTTCATCAAAGACATTGGTAGTACATTGGGTACGCAATAAAATTTGACGTACATGTATTTTGTATTGGTATTTCCTTGAAACCTGTACTATAGTAAGGATATTTCGGACCTGAGTAATATAATTTTCTATTTTCGTAGTTTATTTACAAATTATCAATGGTATTTCATTACTTTATTATATATTATGTTTTATTCTGATATATTAAATAAGTTTATTGGTTTAAAGAAAGTGTGTTTGACAATCGAATGATGAATCGTAAAAAGAAGTTCAAATATGTTCTTATTTGTTTTGTTATTCCACGCACTTAATTTAGATAGACGTTAAATTCAGGTTTATTGACAGATCGGCATACAAAATCATTTACATAATTATAAAAAGGATGGACAAGATATCATAAATACATACAAAGAAAAGCATTTTATAATTAGGTTAAATAAAGAATGACGACAATATAGAAAAACAACTATATTGTTAACTGTTAAAATATAAATAAGCAAACAAGAAATTATAAACTAAGCTCAGAAAACATGTAGATTAGAAGTAATTAAAGACTTACAAAGCAGCAACATTTGTAATTATTTCAGCTCTTAACTTAATAGCGTGTCAAATAATATTATACCTATCTGTGCTCCTGAAAGTAGTTTGGTTACGAGAAGCTAATATTCATTAGAATTTATTAATCATTCAAAAGAATTATTAATTTTATATTTTTACAGGGTTCACTTTACATGGGACAAGAAGTAGTATTCAGGTTCAAAATTTTGAGAACAAATGTACATATTCTTATGTTTATATCCGTACCAAAATATATTTCCACTTTCGATTTCAAGAACATGGGAGCATAGTTTTAGATGAGACTTTATTTTCTATGTTATCATGTTGAACAACATCTAGGTATTGTTCATACTTAAATACAGTTTTAGATTGCCTATAGTAGGATAACTTGATTTGCCACACTTGTACAAATTTTTGTTGATTAATAGCGAGCATGTTGATTAACATTATAATCCTAACATTTAGTCATTTTAATACAAACAAATGTACAGTTTGTAAGTTTACTGGATTTTTATCATTTTTGCCATATATTACCGTCAATTAGTTATATTAATCATGTAACACATGTGATGTTTTCAAATTAAACCCAAACCCAGCATATATGAGCTTACGATAATTTCAGAAATAAACACAGAAACAGATATACAGGAAGAATAAAATCGTCATTTTTTTATAATTTACTTGCTTTTTGTTGTGTCCCTTCATGAAACCCTTATTTCTATACAGTGTATGTATCTCTTTTCCTGACTTTGATAGCTTAAATGGATTCTACTGACGTTTTTGATAATATGACACTAGAATAAAGATGAGATTAATACTCTTTTGGATGTAGGTCTATATCAATTTCTTGTGTACAAATCTTCAGATCATTAGCTCACTTGTTTTCTATCAAGAATGCGAAAAATGACCCGAAAATGAAAAGGAAATGCAACGCTTTTCACCCAAATCGGTCTCGGAATAACTTAAAAATATGATCTTATATTTGTGTAGACTTTTTTCTCAATAGATTTAATAATTGTTAAAAAGCATATCATATTTTACTGTAACTTCCGCATTCAGGTATTTGTAAAACACGAACGAAATGATAAAAGGTCATTATGGATTTATGTAGTTACTACCTGCTTATAAAAACTGTTATTATTGATATAATTTAAGCAGTTGAAAATGTCGTATATTATTTGGTTCCTAAGTTTTATTGGATTGTTCTCATTACTTACAGTAACTGTTGATGGATACAGTAGAGGTAATGTTTACAGAAATATTTAATTTTCATTTGTTTCAAAATATATTCACTAGCATTTAAAAAAAGTTCGTACGGGAGCAATAATGCGTGTAAATGTACCTTGAACATGATAATTTTTTATCATCGTCCAGGCTGTACACATGCTATAAACGGTGTACCTTCATTTTCTTTAAAATGACTAACGTTATCAGTTTCAGATTGCCATATAATTAAAGTAGAATTTTGTCTCAAAATTATTTGTGCAGGACAAAAATACTAAATGACAATATATATTCTTAGTTACATAAGCTTATTAATGCTGTAAAGACAAGCTGTGTAAGCAATATCGTATTTTATAAAATAATATCGATTATAATGCTGATAGACAATTAATTGAATATGACAATTGTTTAGATTTAAATTAAAAAATCATATAAGTTTAAAAAGACTGTCACTCTACTTTTATCATTCTATCGTTACCAAAAGAATGTATTGTTGAGTGGAGTATTAATTATTTATGCAATATGGAAGAAGATTAAAAACTGAAAACATATATCTTCAAATATTGACATTTAAATCTGACATTTAAGGACCCAGTTACCTTGACTTTTGACCTAATGACTCTGAAATCAATAGGGGTAATTTGCTAGTAATGCCCAATCATTATGTCAAATATGACGACTTTAAGATAATCAGCGGTAACGATTTTGAAATTTAAGGCCCCAGTGACCTTGACCTTTGACCTAGTGACCCAAAAATGAATAGGGGCCATTTGCTAGTTATAACCAATCACTTTGTGAAATATAAAGACTTTGTGACACATAGTTTTTAAGATAATCAGCGGTCTACCGACGGACAGACCGACAGACAGACCGACATTAGCAAAACAATATACCCCCTCTTCTTTTAACGGGGCATAATTAATATAGATCTAGGCAATGAAGTGTGAAGAGGCGAAACACTGTTAACAACTCTATTTTATATCGAAATCCTTTATGACATTATGCCCATGATAGCCCATCCAAGGGTATATAGTGAGTAAACAGCTGAAAGTCAAATTTGTTTTACAGTTCACTTTAAAGTTACATCATCCTCAATCTGTCATTGTTAATACCAGTTGAATTGACTATGTATGAAAGTGACTGTTAAAAATTTGATCGACCCGAAGTTCATAATTGGTAAATGTTTAGAATAAAATATAAATCTGCCTAAAATATAAAAAGCCGCACTCTTTTAACTCTTATGAATTATGTGTTACAGGTTAATTCCGATGGATATTTACAAAAACTTCAATGTGCCACGTGAGATAGTTGGCGTTGATGTTAAGCAAATTATAAAATTGAAATCAATTATAGCAAAATTGAAACTTACTTTGACTTTCACCTGTTACTTCACCTTTTATGGGCGTAATATCATTTTAAATTAGCTTACAAAACAGTTTGAATGACAGCTACAGCACATGCCGTAGAATATCTTTTAACCTTTCACAGACCTTTAAGTATGACCTTGATATTGACCTTGACCTTGGTAGAAGCAACCTGGATTTGAATTTGACATTTATGACCTTTGGAGTACCACCTGGCTGTTGTTACCTGTACATCGGCTCAAATGATTACCATTCGTGCCAAGTATTTAAAAAAAAAAAAAAAAAAAAAAAAACGTTTCAGTTGTTTAAAAGTTATGGAGTGGACGTGAAACGTATTTCTTTGTTATGATTGACCTTTTGATATAACATTAACATGGGGGATAGCGTCCAGGTTGTTACGTTCTGAACATTGATTCATTAGGAAAATAAATTTAATGTATGTATGCTATCAAATATTTTATAAAATATTCAATTAGAGACAAATATAATCCCGAAAGAACAATTAAATACTATAAAATAATGTAACAAATACATAACCTTATGCTTACATGAAATTATTCTAGTCTAAACATATTTTATTGCATTTAATACATGTTTACAAATATAGCATACAAATAAAGTATATATATCAAAATGCAAATGGGTTGGGCAACAAGTTCTCACAACATTAGATCAAGCCCTTCCCAGAAATTAATTTTACAAAAGAAAATACTTTAAGGCAACAATGATTATTTAAACATGCATATAAACTTAAAAATATGTATTTCATTTTTGAACAGTTCATTTATTCATTAAGATTTAATGTACAGTTTTGATTTTGAAGTGCGATCCATCCACAGGTTGCCATCCCGATCTCACTGTAGTGTTAAAATAGTTGAAGTTTGGTTTTTGAAATTATTCTCAGTATGATACACTGAATACTTGCTTAATAATCATTATTATTTCGTTCAACTTCCTTTTTTACTCAGGAAGGTACATGTAGTGGTGGGTTTTTTGGTAGAACAACACTCAGGTTCAAATATATATATGTAAGAAGTAGACAATAAAAATGTCATCGTTGATTTGTGAGACATGATAACAGAGAACAAACTCTATATATGCGAATGTTGGGCTTGTTTCAATGTGTAGTGCAGTTTGTGACATCATTTTTGTGATGGTGGATGAGCAGTGGCTATGCTTTCATGACTGTTCTGCTAGGCGCTGTGCCGTAATTGGACTGGCATATCGATGTGGTGGTATGTGTGCATATATTCTCTCATTTCTATAACAAATTATCTGCACACTTGTATCTTAAGTGATCCCACGCAGGGGAAAGTATAACTGTATTTGAATTTAATTATCTCCCTTTATATATACTTTATCTGTCTAAATTCATTGTATCCTACGGATCTACTTAATCTTACGGGATCCAGTTGACTTTCGGAAATAGATATATAGTTCTCTGGTCCCAATCAGTGAAGAAGACAATAAAAATGTCATCGTTGATTTGTGAGACATGATAACAGAGAACAAACTCTATATTTGCGAATGTTGAGCTTGTTTCAATGTGTAGTGCAGTTTGTGACTGTATATAAAGCGGTTCTGAAACCATCAGTGGTGGTATGTGTGTATATATTCTCTCATCATCAACATATATATTTGAACCTGAGTGTATGAAAGAAAGTCGTGAGCGGGAAATTATACATAGAAAAAACAATCAAATATTTGAAATACATAATACAACATATATCACGCAACAATTCAATTTACAATAGAAACTTTTTCACAAATAAATAAATAAATGTATACATACGTGACCTAATACATACCAAGATTTGTAAGAAGGAATCTTATGTATTAATTATTTGAACAGAAGGTACCGTAAGAAATGAAAGCTAACCTATAATATAATATGTAGTCACTATGACTGCAAGACACGGAGTGGTCAGTGTTAATTAGAATTGTTATATTCCAGAACCAAATCAGCGGAAAATAACTTTCATACAAAATCAATCATCCAGCAAAACCAGTTCAGTCACGCATAACAAAAGAACACAAGACAAACACAAACACATAACACCATAACAGATTTGGTCTGACCTTTTAAGATAATTTACCATAAACATTATAAAAAAGAACTCGGGACTAATTTAACCTTATCTACAAAAAGTTTCACTTATGTATTTTATCATTTATTTCTGCTAAATATTTGCAGAATGTGATGTTAATCAAACAAAATTTACACCAGAAGGAAGCACAGTAACCTTCGTGAACAACATTACAATTACAGGCGGCTTATTTCGAATGAGGAAGACATCCGGGTCTGCGACAGGATTTCGTGTTTATCTATATCTAGCCGGGACTAATGGGACCTTGACCATTGCCAACATTTATGCTTTTCCTGGTGCTTGGGAAAACAAGACAAGTATAAGCATTCAATTTCACTCTGATAGCAAACCTTATGTGAGAATAATTTTGAGCAACGTCAGTATGGAGGATAATGGGACATACCGAATAATTTATGGCCGTGATTACGCTTGTTATATCCTTTATGTAATGGGTAAGTATTTTTATCATAAAAGATAGATTTCAAATTTTCAATTCCATTTTCTAAGAGAGTATATTTTTTAGAAATTAAGCATAAAACATTAAAAAGATTAAATAACCAATTGCAAAAAAAATAGGAGCTCTTAGTTAAGTAGCCCTTTTCAAACATTAAATACAAAAATGTCTAATATATTTGACTTTAAACAGACAATTTTGACGAAGAGTAAATCAAATACAAGGAAAGGGCATCTAGTAGTCATTTCCTAGCATAACACATTTCTTTCATTTGATGCTTTTAAGGACATCATTTACATAATATCTGGAGCTCTGGAGCATAAATTAAGTTTCCCATCAATTAAACTTGCCTATAGAAATAACAAAAGAGCTCTTGATTTATGAATATTATAAAGAAGATGTTTATAAAGTAATATAAAAAAAATGTAAAACATAATTTAGCAATTTGATTTTAATCATTTAAGTCTATGTTTATATCATTTAAGAAATAAAAGCTGAACCGAGCTTAAGTAGAGAAGAGAATGACCCGATCTATGTGTTTGCACATCCGCAATATTCACTGATAAAGCGGCCGTTAACGAACGCAACTATGGTCTGGTTATTAGACGGTAAATCTGTCAATCAATCTGCCAGGTTTATACAACAAGATGGTCTTATTTGGATACCAAGGATTAGAAGAGGCCTAAATGGAAGGAATGTAACTTACCGCGCTCTACATGATGATGGAAGAATCACCGATGTAAATACCACAGTAACTGTTAAATGTAAGAACAATAATGGCATATGTTTCATAACATTAGATACAAGAAAGCAAATCTTGTGTTATAACAACATATTCTAAGAAGTTCATTTGCAAAAAATACACACGTTATTAATAACATAGTTTACTCCTACATTGTTGTAAATTTGTGCAAGATTTTGGTCGAAATATATAAACATTTCAAGTGATAGCCTGTTTCCTAGTATTGAATACACTTCAAAATGTTTTATTACTATGTTTTCGATTACTAGTTCCGCTATTTAATAATAAGATTGATAATGATAATTATAGAGGAATAAGACTGCGACTGAAATTGTTTTCTGTATTTTACATTTACACAGACGGACCAAGCCATCCTTTGACGCTGGTACCGAAAAAGACACACTACAATATGGTCAGTGGAGATACCATGCCTGATATAACATGTACCTCTGAATGTAATCCACCATGTAACATTTCCTGGGGAGAACACAGCGAGAGGGAGACACTCAGTCTTGGAACTGTTAAGAAGGAAGATTCAGGAGAGTACACATGTACTGCTAGTAGAATTGGTGGCCAGACCATACAACAGACTGTCAGTATTTTTGTTGCTGGTAAGTCTTGATAATGGCAAGTATTGTTACTTATTCCCGCTATAAATTAATAAATGAAAACGCGATGATTTCAAACTGAACCGGGGCGTGTCTATTACCTTCTTATTGGACAAGTAAATTTGATGAAAATTGTAGCATTCATTATACATGTACACGCTGCTGAAAAATAGAAAAATCATATTCAAATGCTTGTACATTGGTTCATTTATTATAGTTAGAGAGAAAATATTTTTTTATTTTTGCTGATGATAACATCAAAACACCGTCCTCAAGTTTCGATGCTCTTTATATTTAAAAAAAAAATGATTCAAGCTTTATTACAAGAAATGAAAAGACATGAGCTAGACTAATAATTATGATATCCTGACATAAGATTTGTGATGTAAAATAAGAATACTGTTATCATATCAATATCAGCCATTAAATAGCACCGTGTAAACACAGACAGTTGAATGCCTAAGGAAACATAACACAATAATATTATATGCTTCGAAGTTTCAAAGTTTTATTTCAGAAATATCCTGAAGGTCAGAAGCCCATGAGGACAACATTTTGTACAGTGTACATGTTGCAATTACTACATAATAACATATTGTAAAATCTTGTAGCCTTCTAAGTCTTATAGCTAAAAGTATAGTTATAAACATGATCAACATGTAATCTAACTTTATAATACTGATTATGATATACTCTATCCATTCGCATTACGTCACCTTACAAAGTGTGCTGTTGAGTGCACAAATTAGTAACACCAGTGACTAGAGCTTCATGACCTAATAAGTATATTCATATGCTTCGCAAAGACCAAACAAGTTATATCTGAAATATCACAATTTCATATATCATTCATATTTTTCACTGTGTCTGATGTTTACTTGAATGCGAATGAGGAAAATTATATCACAAACATATTCAATTTTTTTATAAAATAGTGTTACATTACAAAATGAAATTCTTTTTCTAACACTTGACATATACTACATTTTCTCTTAATTAAAGGAATTGCAGTAGGCTTTGCTCATTTGCCGCTTTCAATACTTAGTTGATGAAATGACATACGCAATCTTGATAAGCCAAATCGAAACTTTTGTATGTTTCATATCTGGTATAAAAATATGTAATATCGGATAATCTATCGCATGCTTGGCAACTACATGTATAATATGTTTCTTTTGTGGTTTGTTATTATGTTTTGATATTTAGTATTATCAACATAATTATTTATTGTATAACAGACTTTCTATGATAGACCAATTCACTTTAACTAGACGTTTATGTTTAATATTATAATAAATCGATAATTATACAATTTAAAACGCAATAATTAATACATGCGGGAAATTGTGCCAATTATATATTAATATTTTAATATTTAATATTTTTGATATTTTCATATCAAAAGATCGACCACTTCAGTCCCTCATACTTTCACCAAGAAAGACGTTCTATAATTTGGTTAGTGGAGACGCCATGCCTGATATAACATGTACATCTGAATGTTATCCACCATGTACTATATCCTGGGGAGAACACAGCAAAGACAACATTCTTAGTCTAGGAGCCGTTACGACAGATGATACAGGGGAATACACGTGCACAGCGAGAAGAGTGGATGGGCGCAGTGTTGAACAAACAGTCAGCGTTTTCGTTTCCGGTTATAATTAAATCCTACCTCATATTTAATAAACAATTATTAGCTAGATTTTTACAGAAAATTAATAATGAATTTTAATAAATGTTTTCCTGATTGATGTATAACAATGATGCATATTTTAGAGTTTCATGTATACGTAATGATATTAGCACATGAATCAATAAATAGTATAAGACGACGCTTAATCTGTCATAAGTTCAGATCTATTTATTTCTTCTATGTAGCGTAACGTAATTAAGGAGCTGATTTTAATTAGATTGAGACGTAGCTGTGAATATTTCTTAATTTCTTCGTTAAAAGCGTGATATGAGTTCATGTGTTTTTCTATATTTATTTAGGGTCAGACAATTTGCTAATATTCGCTAGTCTATGCACAAGGAAAGTAACAATATTACCACAGATACTTGTGTACTGTTGGTGTAGCTTTATTGTTATAGACTGGACGTGTGAATATTACGATATTTCAATATATTTTTATTTTTTATACAGACAACTCATATTTTACCATAGCGATTATATGTTTGGCGACTGTTCAATCACTTACTATCATTGCGCTTGGGTTGTGTACATTTTTCATCTACAAAAGGAAAGTTCCGTTTTGTTGTCAACGACGTTAGTATTTTTTTAAAATGTAAATTTATAATATACATAACTGTTGTAAATTACATGTAATAATGGACAAATAAAAGGAAGCTTTAAAGCAAATCATTTTTACGATATTGATTATACTGTAAAATATCATATATGAGATTGTTCTTAAAAATTTCGAACTATATTTCTTTTTACAATATCCTTACATCATTCTGTTTTTGTTTTAAAAGCAGTAATGACCAATGGCAAGTGTTAATTAATGTAAGATTACATTTATAAATGTCACGTTGTTACATTAACAAACCAATTAAAATAAATTGGTCAACAATAGACAAAATTCCGTAATGTTCTGTAGCAAAATAAACATAACTCATAAATTATTTAGTATTTATATGATAAGAAGGGAGGGGTGGTAATATCAACTGATATTACAGACAGTTCGACAATGTTCATTTCTTATGTTTACTTATAATGTTCAGATAACAATCAGGTGTTATCTTTTAAATCCATTTTAAATTTCTTCTGGCACAATGTTTTTGTTGTTGGGGGTTATAATAATCAAGTAAACTTCACAAAATAGTGATATAACACAAACACGTATATACTCTACAAGATGTTATTTTATTCTCCTAAAGTTCCTAACATCAAGACTTGCTAGACATGTGAGCATGCATGAGCAAAACGCATATATCAATAAACTAGTTAATCTACTGATATAACTACATATAAGTATTTTAAAAAAAATACTGAAACGATAAAAATGTATCATTAGGATATTCTAAACTATTCCTTGAGAAAAAAACAATGCTGATAAAGTTTTAAGTGGTTAAGTATGAACATTTTTATGATGGATAATGATATTTTGTTCTAGCACATCTTATTATCTGCTATACATGTACAAAAACATAATATGGGATCATGTATCGTGCACTTTCCATACACAATTCCTTCGTGGTTGTTATGTCTGATACTGAATACAAAATGTAATATCAACGTTATTAGCTATTACACCTTCAATTATACGTAGGCCAACTCTCTGTGATTTCTATTTGTTTCTTTAATTGTCTATGGCCTTGAAATATTTATAATTTTAACACGTCTGCTTAAACTTAAATAATCTGGTATAACATTTAATTAAAACAAATAAGCAGTTTTCTTTACTGTAACAATGTTTATTAGTTTCAGAGTGCGTTTCCAAGAATAAAACAGACAACACAACAGTCACCTTTTCTCAATCGAACGTGTAAGATATTTCTTAAATATGTATAACATTTGTATGCAAATATCAAAGAAGTATCTGAATTGAAAGAAAGACATAAGACCACTTCCGTGAAAGAAGATGACACATAGGGAACAAAAATGTTTTGCTGTTAAATGAATGTATAAAAACCCATACCAAAGTTCATAAATGGAAATATTTCTGTAAATTCTTTGTTTAAAGCAATTAACACATGTGCAAAATAGAATAGAATAGGACTGGTATATTTGTTAGGGAATATTGTATTCTGATAAATGGAAGCAAGAAGTATTAGCTAGTTAAAATAGTGGCAAGCTTTTTAAAATATATGTTTAGAGTTGCGACGCACTTTTTTATAAAGTAGATTGTAAAACCCACTTCCAACAAAAACTATATATTGAAATGGTTAACAAACATTTCCACATTTGTGTCGTTAAATGAAACAGTTCTTTGAGAATTTAATTTTCAGGCAAGGATCTAAAAAAAGAATGTATGAAGACTTGAGACATGGGACAAGAAACAATGTTTACGGCGAGGTTAACTTGTCTATTATAGGTATCTGCAGTCATTTATAGTAATGTTTATTCTACATTTTACCTTAAAATATTTACAAAAAATTTAGCTCTAAACACTTTCTTTTAAGGTTGATTTCAAATGACTTTTCGTAGACTTTTTAGAAACTTTATGATAATTCCTTTGCAATTAAAGTTTGCGTCCATAGTTATTTGAAAAGGGTAAATTTTCAATCCGTCTTTTTATTTTGTTATTTATTATCAATTTGTAATTGTAATGCGATTGCTACAGTGCCTTAGTTGTACATTATGTTTTCAGGAGATGATGCTACAGTTAGTACATACGAAAATACGAGCATTAAAAGTTAAAATTTTCCATTCGTTTTAATATTGTCATAGAAACACATGCATTACTAAATAGTATGCACATGCGGTAAAAATGCAATTTTCTAAATGACTAATTTTCAAAAGTACAGAAGCGCTAATTTAAGAATTAGACATCGTTTAAAAGTTTATTTGCGCAAAGACAATCAAATTTACTAGTATGTCAGGCTATTTTAGAAGGATATTTTGTAGTCAGTAATTTATTTTCTGGAATTTTCTACGGCAAAAAGAGGTACACGTACTGTGAATTATCGTTATCATTGAGAAAAAAATGCAGAGGATAAAAGGAGTAAAAGGTCCTTGCTTGATTTAGAGGACGCAGAGAAAGGACACAAGGAATTAAAGAGATTAACGGCGCAGCTGTTCAATGAAAGATTAAAAATCGAGTGAAAATAAATCTACTAGCAACATTTTTGTATGTAACTGAACAAAATAGTATTTGCTTGTACATGTGTTGTTACTGAATCACAAGATAACATATTTATCTGGTATTTTTGTTTGGATGTTTTAAAAATATCAACAATGTTTTGTCTTTTCTCTTTTTAGAAATATCTGAACACTTATACTTGTAATCAATTTTAACATTGGACTGTCGAAGTTTCAAAATAATCCAAATGATAAATATTTATTACAATTATGAAATCCGCAATTGATGCTAAAGGACTTTCAGTTTTTTGTAGGATATGTGTATAAACATATGTTTATTAAAAATCAATTAATATACAACATGTTGCATTAACGGTTCATGTAATGTAAGTTTTTGTATGTATGTTTTTGTATATGTGTGTATGTATGAGTATATGTATATATATAAGGGATCTATAAGTAAGTGGTTCAAATATCAATTTTGATATGAAAATTTTAATTGTGTAACTACTTAAGAAAATTTCGGCTGGTATGTACTTTATCAATCAAAATTGATCTTTTCCAAACTTTTTCATGATTTTTGATATTATGTATATATATTTATGTCATACACTGTTCGTTATTGTGTAAGTTTTATGTCCTCGTGGGCTTGAAAGCCTATTGAAACAAAATGTATACTGTCTACTGTTATTATTGTATGTTAGTATGTGTCCAGTGTTCAGCCATGTATAAAGTAGTAGATAATTGTTTATTGTAGTAACATATGCAATGGACATTTATACAGTACAATACAATTTCACAAAGAGTTTTGCACCCGGCCCAATGAACCTATTAGTCACCTTTTATAATAAATTACATTAATCATATAACTTTACATGATGTAACAAATTACGTGAGGGAAATGGTTATGGCAAAACAACACTGTATAATAAATGTGAAATTATGCGCATACTAGTATAACAATAAATAGTTAAGTGAGACATAATCCTTATTGAAATGCAAAACTTAAATTATTTTTATAATTTAAGAATAAATTATACTTAGTCTAAACAAGTAAGCTTTCGTTATATATTTGGCTGTCTTTCTTATGTGATCAGTCATAAACACACATACTTTTTTCAGAAATGGTTATTTTCATGTCCTGAACACAGTTAACATTAACAAATATATCGTTTCTTATGTGTCTATAAACACATGATAACAAAAATGAGTCTCATCCTCTACTTCATTTTTTTCACAAAAACGACAAATTCTGTATTCCACTGCTTCTCCAACGAAACGCCCAGCCAAATCCGAACTGACATAAAAGTGACCGTTCATGTTTTTCGTAAATTAAGTAAAACATAATCTTCCTTATCAAATGTATCTTTAAACAGTTTTATATGTTCGAAGCTTTCTAAAGGATTGCAAATTGGTCTACCATGTATTACGGTACAGGTCTCGAATTTTATCGCTAGCAGTACACAGAATAACTGTTGTAAAATCTGTAAAGTGCTGTTCTAAATTAAGATCACTAAAAATCTTTTTTATATTTGAAGACAAATTTTCACATGTATTGCATTTACCGTAATCATACATAACACATGTTTGGTTAGTCTATCATCCGGCATTGATAACAACCTGTTCCAAAATCGTATTATAGGCAGTTTCTGTCTGAACACACTTGGTAGTCATCCTGAATCTCCATGGTGCAAATCTATGTACACCAAAAAGGTATCTTAGCGCGCGTGATAGACATTGTCAACACATTGGTACGATTTGAAACCCCCACGAGGAGGCGCCATACTCCAATATCGGACTCACACAAACTGCCGACCAGTTTTTCAAATGCGTTAATTCCAGTATCTTTCAGGTTGTGAATCCTACAGATTATGCTCCCTAAAGCTCTTCCAGCACCTTTAGATTGGGATTCACTATTAAGATTAAAAACTATGCCCAGATAGTAGATGGTTTCTTAGAACATTTTCACCAACTCTGAAAATAAATTGACTGCGCTGTGTATGTACTCTACGAAAAATGGACACATTTGGACTGTTAAGCATTTACTAAGACGCGTCACCATTCATGTTCAACATCAAGAATACGCTGCAAATTTATTTCTGAGTCTGAGATCAGCGCTATGTAATCCGCCTAGAACAATGAAGATACCATCATAGAACCAACGTTACTTCCAAGTCCAAGGCTATTATTTTCGTGAATGAGGTCATTTGCATACACGGACCAAAGCGTCGGTGACAACGTAATCGAACCAATCAATGTGGACGAAAGAATTTTGTAATCCGCTATAATTATTTATGCGAACACAAGCCGATGCACTACATTGTTGGGTAACAGTTTATACAAAAGTTAGAAATCTAGTCTCTATCAACAGAATCAAAGCACTTTATTAAGTCTATAAAAGCAATGAATGTGTTTGCTTTTTTGTTACATTTAATGTTATTTAGTGTAAAAATATGATCTTCACAATACTTGCTTTTTCGAAAACCATTATGCTCATCGGCCATAAGATTGGATTGTTTGATTCCATATATGCAGAAACACGTTTGTTAATAAACGCAGTATATTATTTGTTAACGCAAGACAGTGGACTGATTCCTCTATCGTTTATCAGTATTTGGATCCTTTAGAATTTTGAATATAATCGATTTACGTCAAATTGATATAAATGTTTATGTATCTGTTTAAACTGTATATATCTTTTTATCTGCTTTATTGTTTAATTAAAAAAATACATATAATTCCAAAAATATTCAAAGAAATATATTTGTAAATTTTGTTAGAAAGAATAACGCATTTACGGTGAAAACAATTTTAATTAGCACTCCGTAACATTTTACTCCGTAAACGTGCAATGTCCATGTGTATTAAGTAAAAGAATCATTCCTGATTATAACTCGTTCAAGAAGTGACCAAATGACCTTTAAGAAGGTTAATGAAATGCCAGGTTAATATTGTTGGACAATAACGTTGTACTGTGTATACAAATTCACAGAAAAGTGATTGATGTCGATGTACCATCAGTGACATATTGTCGATAATTTTTAGCATCAAATGTTTACTTATAAAGGAAATATATGTGAACTAGGTTGTTCAGTGGTAGAATGCTCGCCTGCCACGCGGTCGGCACGGGTTCGATTCCTGCCAATGCAGATATTTTGCTGAAATTAAGCAAAAAAAAATTGTTTGTTTATTACTGAAACACATTCAATATTGTTACTTTTTGTTTCAAATACCGTTACAAAATTATGCATAACATTGCTATTCTATATATTGTTGAACAAACTTTCCCTTGGTAGTTCTCTTTAAGTAAACATGATGCTTTTTTAATGATTAAAACTACTCAACATATTCATTCAGTAACGGAGAAGGAAACAGGCATATAACAGCGTGCCGTTGTTGCAGTGTAACTAAGGACGCAAGGTGTAAATAACTGGCCGAATAACGGTCTAGGTAATGTGATTGATAAACAGACGCTTATTTTTCCTAAATGTTTAAACTATATTTATTTATTTATTTTATTTACAACTCCACAGACCATATCCCAGCAGTATACTGTTTTATATACTGCGGAACTGTACTCGACACTTAATAGTGCTGGCATCAATGATCCCGAAGGACCAGAAAAATATAACAACACTGAAGTGAAGTAAAGGGCAACTAAGACTATTTAAACTTAAAATTAATATTCACTATTTGAAAACTTACTAACATTGTTTGATATGTGCAAGAGGCCACATTCTTAGTGTAGATAAAACATTTATCTTAAAACCTATATTCCAGTAAAACATTATCTGTTATTCTTTCATATACAATGTACATATCTTAAAATAAGAAAATGTATAAAAAGATAACTATAAAAAGGAGCAATTTGTGTATTCTAAACTACATTTGAAAATATCATAGATATCGAGAATCTATTAAAACCGGTCACGTTATTCGTGATGATAAGGCGATTTTTGCGTTATAACGCTTATTGCTTCTTATTTTAGTGCATTGTTCAGCATAACAGAGCCTAATTTTACGTTAGTACGCCTTTCAAATATTTTTCATGTACTACAAAATGATAAATAAAAAAACCCGAAGAGCGCGATTTATTGACGGAAAAGGTTATTTTATTTGAAAATGTTTGCATTGCGAACTTCTCCAGTTCGCTATTCATTGTTACATATCGCGACATTTCATTCTTAATTAATAATCAAGCACCCTCATACCGATCGGAATGATCGGCTTTTATTATGACCGACTAAAAGGCTCGAGAAGTTGCTGTCGCCCTTTCACCAAATCTGATTTCATTCCATAAGGGCGAAGTACGTTTGTCCGACAAATGGCCAAAATATGTTCGAAAGATGCATGCAAGCCATGGGTGTTTGACGATGTGATTATTTGTATTTTTTTGTAAACTCTATGAATGTTTGTAAAAGCGCAATTCTTTGATTTCGTTGCATATTGTCTTATACAATGTACTTACAGATTTTGGCGTGTCAGCCTGTGTGCGGATGATTGCTTTAATCTGTAAAGAAGTTTGCGAAGAGACCTAATCATTGGCCTCATTCGTTGCCGATTGGTTAGTGCTATATCTTGGAGTCTATTTACAATACTATTAGGCTCAAGGCGCTTGCCGACAGATGCCCGCGTGGCATAACTGTAAGCTAATTGCAATGATTTGTTCATTTTGTGAACAAACTTGGCGATAAAATAACGTTTCCGGAGACATTTGTGACCTACCTATTGGTCCGGATTTGTTGCATTTGGTCATTGCAATAACCCTGCATCTTCCGATCAAGAAAATGATCAGCACATAGGGCTTATCCAATAAAAAATGAAAGTCAAATGCCCTCGCCAAGTGGGTTTTAAACATTACTATGATGTGTAGAATTCTGTATGTACTATCGGGCACCTAAGTAGAAACATTTATGTTCCATTAACTAGGTGGATAGCTTCCTCACAAGAAAGAATCCAAAGTCAACATTGTGATTCGAACCCATAACGGTGAGAAGCAAGTGATTTGAAGTTAACGACCTTAACCAGTCGGCCATGGAAAAAACCGGGTAATCGGATGGAGTTCCTCCTTATTTGGGCGTAGCATTCCCTCGGTCACCGGCTGACAATTTTGTTAACATTTCTCTAGTAGAGAAAGAAATGTTATGTAAATAATTACAAGTTCTTGCTTATTTATAAGAAGAGAAGAAGTATTCATAGTTTGTGACAGCTGATAAGATAATAGTTTATAAAATGCACATTTTATTTTGTAGAGAGTTTCATATTGGTCTTCATTTTTTACATATAAACGTCAGAAGTCTTATTCAAAAACTTCATGAAATCAATATTATAGCTCGTAGATCTAGAGCAGCATGTATATATTTATCTGAAACATGGCTTGATGATTCAGTTACTGATTCTGAAATTTATATTGAAAATTATTGCGTACAACGAAAAGATCGCAACAGGCATGGTGGTGGTGTTTGTATTTACATAAGGAAAGATTTGTCGTTCAACAACCGGAGTGATCTGTCTCATACAGAACTTGAAGAAACCTGGATTGAACTGATTTTACCTAAATCAAAACCTATTTTATGTGGTATATTATACAGACCTCCTTCACAGCAAACATTTTATTCTATTTTAGACTCAGTGTGCTCTATTAACAATGACTTTTTTTAGAATATGAAACATTATTACTTGGTGATTTAATACAGATGTGTCTAGTGACAAGTCTTATCCTCTTTTAAAGTGTTTTAAATCATTTATTCATATGTTTCATTTTAATCAGTTAATAAGTGAACCTACAAGAATTTGTTCTATAAGTTCAACAACTATTGATTTAATTTTAGTATATGACCATGATAAAATTTCTCAATCAGGTGTTATAAATACTTCATTTAGTGATCATAACATGATTTACTGTACAAGGAAGCTCTCTAAATCTTTTATTGGTTCTCACAATAATACTACTTTAAGATCTTTAAAAAAGTATATTAAGGAAGACTTTCACTACTGATTGGAATCCGGTATTACTGAGTGATAATGTGAATGAAGCATGGGACA